TCCTCCTCCCTTCTCGTCCTTGTTTTCCCTCCTGCTCCTCCTGCTTCTCCTCCTCCTCCTCATCCTCCTTCTTTTCCCCTCCTTCCGCCTTCTCCTCCTCCTCCTCCTCCTCCTGCTCCTCCCCCTCCTCCTTTTTGTCCTCCTCCTCACTCTTCCGTCCTCGTCATCTGTTTCTTTCCTTGCGCTGTTGCTCGACCCTTCGCCACGAGATGGCAATGCAGTGGCCATGAAACTCGGCAGCGGCATGCTTGCAACGTCGATGGTCATGTAGTATGTAATTCGCTCGGAGCCCACTCATTCTGCTCCTCCAGCCTCTGACTACTTCCGTCGTCCCCCCTCGCTCCCTTCATCCATCCTCCCCTCCTCGTTCGTCGCGTTCTTCCTCCCACCCTCTCCTCCTCTCTCCTCTTCCTCTTCCTCCCCTCCTCCCCGTCTCCTTCCTTCACGCCCTCCCTCCTCCTCCCCTCCTGCCCCCCCCCTTACCCCGCCCTTCCCCCGCCTTCTCCTCCTCCCTCTTCCTCCTCCTCCTCCCCTCCTGAAACCCCTTCCTCTCCCTCTCTTCCTCCCTCCCTCCTCCTCCCCTTCTACCTCCCACCCCCCTTCTCCGCCTCCCGAAAGGGGTGCAACAACCCATCCGCCGTGTTGATGGCCAACATCCGGCGCGCCATGGGCGTGGGCGGCGTCTGCCTGGGCCCCGCTGGTGGCATCGCCCCAAGCGGCGGTCTGGGCCCCGGCGCCGCGATGCCGATGGTGCCGCGGCCGCCACCGTTCGGCACGATCGAGATGTTCATGCAGATCCGCAGAACAAGCAAGGGCATAAGCATCAACTTTTCGGAGCTCCGCGCGGATTTCTCTGATCCGCATTGGGCGCACCTAGCGGCGCCCCTGGCGCCGCCCCTGGCGCTCTCCGCGCGTAAGGGAGGAGGGTCCAGCGAGGATGCAAGACATCCGCGCGGACCTCCAACAGTTTCTGCTCATTAGTATGTCGTTGTTGGTTCCCCTGCACATTTCGGACGGTATGATCTTCGGGGGCCCCGAAACGGCGCGGTGACCCGCCCGCGTGGTGAGACAGTGGGGACTCGGTGTCACTGCACGGTTTGAGGATTTGGGTCTTTCTCCGAGGGAGTCTCGGGCGACTGGGGCCTCCGAGGTCCCAAAGCCGTGCCGTGATGGACCGCGCGGCGAGGTCGTCGGGGATGGGGAGACCCGTCGCCAAACGGTGTGAAGGCCCCGGAGGTGTTCGGCAACCCGTGGTTTTGCGTCAGGTGTCGGCCCCCGGAGGCCATTTTCGGGCCCCTGGGCCATCAAACACGAATCCGAGACGCGAAGTTGCCCCGGGGGAAGAGGTCCAGACCATTGGGGCCGTGGACTGAACGAAGCATATCTCCGACGTTGTCGCGGCCGCCATCGTTGGAGGATCGAGGGTTCGAGAGTCGAGGTCGACATGTTCAAGAGTCTCTGAGTGCTTTCGTCTCCACGGCCGGACGCAGCTCGAAAAGTCAGCTGGCTAGAATGGATTCCGAGAGTGGTCCAGGGGACGACTCGAACGGATGTTTGGTGCAAATGGTGTCGCGACCTCCATCGTCCAGCACGATCAAAACATCATCAACAAAGTTTAGTTTGGACGGGGTGTTCTATTGTTCTCGATATCCGAAAGCCCTCACAGGACCCCAGGACCTTAAAAACACCACTCAGGTGAGAAGCCGGCCCTGGGAAAATGGTCGGGACTTCTGGGACGACTCAGGTGAAAAGCTGCCCTGGGGACATGGTCGGGAGTCGTGTGTGCCGATGGTACCTCGACCGCCATTGTTTCTTGACCTCGTCGGGCTCATAGGTGACAGGACGGGGACGGAAGAGGAAAGGAGGACAAGCATGTGTTCCGCAGGCCCGCGGGGAGGCAGAACTGTGGGCCAGGGGAGTGTGCCATCTCGCGCGAAACCATATGCGCCGGGTGAACGCACCAGACCACCTCGTTTGGGGGCGCCTGCGGAAGAGCGCTCCGCGGCATGCCCAAGCGAACGCACCAAGTCGCGCACGTGCGCACGTGGGGGCCCATGTCCCAGTGAAGGTCGCCGAAGCCCGGCGCGGGGGCGGGAGCCCGCATGAGGGGCCGGGTGGACGCACGGAGCAGAGCAACCGTCGGCGGCGACGACAAGGGCGACTAGCCCAGGGGCGGGCATTACACGTATTCGTCCAGGAGCCTCGTCGAAGACATAAATCATCGGTTCCCCTGGGTACATTCCCCTAGGCTATTCGCCTCCCCTGGGTTATCCCCCTGGGCTAGACATAAGTATTGCTCTCCCCTGGGCTATTCGCCCCTATCGTCGCCTCCGAAACCAGGGGGGGGGGATCCGAAGCACGGGCCGGGTGAGAGCGCGCCAGTCCGCGCCGAGCACCCGAGGAGCCGAACAAAGGATCCGGCAGCAGGTCGTGGGAGCGGGGCGTGCCCCTCTCCGTCCCGTCTTCAGCGTCGGCTAGCGTCGTGGGAGTCGTCAGGACAGATCGTCGACTCCCAGCAAAACATAGGAAAATATGGGAAGTGAGGGGGGCGACAAAAACCCAGAAGATATATGGAAATGTGGGGGATCCTGCTATTTGTGTCCATTGACTTGTGTGTCTCTGGGTCACTTCTAGTCGATGGGGTAGCGCCGACTTAGCCTCGTCTGGCGTCGACTCCGCGTCGATGCCGCGTTGGTCAGCGTCGACTGGCGTCGGTTCGCGTCGATCTGCCAGAGCCGACCAGATGGTGTGGAAGGCCCCCCTGGGTTGCCAACGACGGGAGGGCGCGCCGAGCAGGTGGACTGCGGGGCGCAGGGGGCCGCGGAGCGCCGCTTTCGCGAAGCGCGGGACGCGGGGCCCCTGAGGGCCGACGAGAGGGCGGTCCTCTGTGTTGTTCTCTGTTTCGCCGATCGGCTCAGGCCCTCGCACCTCCCCCCCCTCCGCCCCCCCTCCACTGGATCGGGCCGCACGAGAGGGTGGGGGGGGGGGGGGGGAAATCGGGAAAGGGGGGTCACGAAAGCTGCCGCGTGCAGCCGGTTGCGGCCCCGCCGCCGGGCCCATTCCTCGATACATGGGCGCCTCCGGGCGCCGGGAGGCGCCGGGAGAATCAGCTACGCGAGCTCGTGAGCTGATTCTCACCCCCCCCCTTTGCTATCCCCCCCTTTCCCCCCCCCCCCCCATGGAGTAGATTTTGGTTGTTTTTTTGGCGCCCGTTTCGAGCAGTCAGAGCCTCCCCCCTGGCACGCCCTGTTGAAGACAGTCGCACGAGGCAGAGGTCCGGAGCCAGACCCCGCCTCTCCCCCCCCCCCGTTATGGCCAATGTCGAAACGTAAGCAGAACAGCCGGAGGGCGAAGGGTAAGAGGGAGGGAATCTCGGTGAAGGACACGGATGTGGGGGAGAACGAGTGGTGAAACGGCAGAAGGAGGAAGAGGAGGAGGAGGAGGAGGAGGAGGAGGAGGGGGAGGAGGAGGAGGAGGAGGAGGGAAAGAAATGGCGCCGTCGGGGGACGGCGCAGAATTTCGGTTGGGCCGCACCGAGGAGTGCAGTTCAGAAGCCAACGGCTGCGGTTTCATGCGTACGTAAGTACACGCTTGCAGAAATGGTGTACGTACACATTTGCAGCGATGTTTGGCAGTAGATGATGACGAAAAAGGCCTTCGTAGGCCCGCACATTGCCCGCTCGTGGCTCCGGCGCCCGGGTGCGCAACGCGAAGGAATGACAAGCCACGCGGATTAATCCCAAGCGAACCGACGCAATGTCAAGCAATGCCGCAAAATACAAAGCAATGCCAAGCCAAGGGTGTCATGTTGCATCGGGTTGCAACGGGGTGCGCGAAAGTAGATATTTCTCTTAGGGAGTGCACCGCACTTCTGGGTTCGCAACAGATTTCCGTCAAATGCAGTTGCGAATCCAGGATTCGGGTCAGTTTGGTGCGTGGGGCCGTTTAGGGCCGTTGTGGTGAGTTTGGGCCCCCTGGGGACCTTGCGGGGGCTACGTGGGGTTTTCCGGTGGCGTCCCATGGCTTTTGTGGGGGCGTCCGGTGCCTTGTGAGAGTTTGTTGGGTTTCATTTTGGATCATTTAGATTTTCTTCTGGCAGTCTTGGGGCCAGCCAGGCCGTCTAGAGGCTCTTTTGGGGGTCTTTTGGGCCGTGCTGAAAAAGTTCGCTTTCCCACGTGGCCTTTTTGCTCACCGCTCTGATCGCCTAGGGTCTGCTGGCAAGACCCGGCCAAGCGCCTTGGGGGGTCCGGGACGAGCCGGGGGACCTCGGCAAGGATGTCCTGGGGGCCCGTCTTGGAAATCCTGAATATTGGGGGCTCGGTATATATATATATATATATAGATATATATATATACATATACATATATATATATATATATATATATATATATATATATATATATATGTCGGCGGTGCGCCGTGGCACGAACTCCCCCCCCCAGCACTACCGGGGGGTTTCGTGCACTACCGGGGGGTTTCGTGCAGCCCGCACCGGGTGCCGCCAGCGGCTTAGAACACCCCCCCCTTGCCGCTTTACCGGGGGGGTTCGTGCAGGCCGCATTGGGTCCTCCCCTGTCGCTTTACCGGGGGGTTTCGTGCAGGCCGCACTGCGTCTACCTGGGCTCCCCACCCCCCCCTGTGGGAGTGGGGGGTGGGAGTGGGGGGTGGGTTGGGGGGGGGTGGGTTGGGGGGGGGGGCAGGGGGGCGGTTGGGAAGGGTGGCTCCCTGTCGAAGTGTGGCGTGTGCTCGCCTTGTGTTCTCTATTCGCGTCTGCTCGCCTTTGTTCCGCCGCAGCCTCTCGTATTGTGGCTCGTGGCCACAATGCGAGAGGCTGCGGCGCAACTCCCGAGAGCCGCTGTGGGGGGTCGACGGCACGGCCGCGTAGAGAAGAACAGTGCCGCCGTGTTCCGGCACGGCCCTGGGATGCAATGCCGCCGCCGTGTTCCGGCCCGTCCTGGTAAGATTCGCGCGTCGGGGCTGGGTTTCGCGCGTGCTGGGAGCGCGCCGCTTACGGAGGGGTTGCGTCCTTACCGGGGGGGTTCGTGCAGCCTACCAGAGGAGGTCGTGTTTACCGGGGGGTTTCGTGCAGGCTCGCACCGGGAATGGCGCCAGCTCGAACCCCCCCAGGAGAGATTACCGGGGGGGGGTTCGCTCCGCACCGGGCACCGCCGACATATATATATATATATATATATATATATATATATATATATATATATATATATACACGTGGAAATCTTGGGATGTGCGTGTATTCGTGTGTGTGTGTATGTGTCCCTGGTGGTTGTTGTTGCTGGGGGCGCGCTTGTCGTTTAGCCATCCTGAAACTTGCAATTGTCTTGGCGTCGACGTAGACTCGCGTGGATGATAGAGAGCTCGAATTGGATTGATTGTGTGTTCCGTGTGTATTTCATCGTGCCCACAACAAGTGACACTTATAGCGGAGCTGGCGTAGCTCCAGCGCATCACGCCCAGGGAGGAGTGGGGCGCGCGATAGTTTCTGCCGAACGGCGGACCAGAACAACGCGAAGAACGGCGTGGATGCCATGCAGGGGTGGATACGAGGTGGCTTCGAGGACGCTCATAAATCCTTGGTGTCGAAGGCGACCAGGGCTGCATGTTCGATGGGCGGTTGGTTCGATCTAGGTTTCGAGTTGAACTGCGTGAGCACCAGGAGACGCGCAGAACGCTTCGGTCCCACATGTTGTTCTTAGCCAAGACGCGTATGGCGCTGAACCAAGACGCGTTC